ATTGTTATCCGTAGACAGCAACGCTTACCGGTAATTTAAAAAGTGTCTCGTGGGGCAAAAGTGCGCATATCATGGTGGGGCAAAAGTTCGCACTTGATATCCGAAGTTAACTCTAAGGCTCAGTTCCACAAACGTCAGTTAACTTTTAATTTTAGGTTAACTCACTCTTCGTCTCTTTCTAAGGGGCATGAGACATTTTTTAAATTGCCGGTAAGCGTTATAACAATTTGAAATGTCTAATATAGCATGGATGACACACGCCAGAAACGAGTTAATCAAAATGTCTTATCAATGATTAACTTAAGTTTATTTCTATTTATGAAATACAGTTTGGAAGAAATAAAGATATTAGGGTAACTGGGGGAAATATGCCACCGTTATGTTTAACAAAGCTACGGCTAGGAGCGTTGTTGTAAATACTGTGTTGTTAAAAATATTATATCTGACATTTTACCCAAGTTTTACTTACTTCCTGTCAGTATTATAGTTTTTATGGGGTAAGTACAGTATGACAAGTATGACAACGTGCTTTTTAGAATTTTCTTAGTGTTTTATTGAAATTGTAATAAAAATATTCTTTTACATGTTTTTAGACAAGAATGCCCTTTTAAAGTTAAATTACTATACATGTTTGTATATGTGGCATATTACTCACATGGGTGGGTAATATGCCACTTTGCAACACTTTTGTATTTCTTTCTTTTTAATAGTACTAGACAGTACAGACGCGCGCGCTTCGCGCGCACTATTTAGCTTTAACATTATGCTATTATATAATAATCGCGACACGACGCGGGACGATTAACCTCGCGACACGACGCGAGCTGTCACATCATGACACACACGACGCACTACACGCACGAAACTCGCCACACTCCGCGATGATAGTCCCTCACGGGATGAAGCAAGCTATACGGCGCGGCAATCAATCGAGATAGCCAATCGGCATCGCGGAAAAGAGGCTTCAATTTTACGATACAAACGAAATTCAGTCAGGTAACACGCCTTTTTTAAAAGTGGAAAAGTAAACAATCAAAATATTTCATTAAAAAAAACCATATATAAATAACAGATAAAAGAAGAAAAAAGAAGACCATTATGCACATATACCTCAAAAAGAAAGAGAAATAGAAAAAAAAATCATATTTTTCTTAAGTGTGGCATATTCCCCCGAGTTACCCTATATCAGAAAGCTGAAAAATGAAACTTATCTCATATAGCGTGTTCGATTTGTTGACTCAACCCGACTCGAGTCAGATTAAAAGTTCGGAAGAATGATAATTAAATATGATAATATGCCGCCATAATGCTAAAAATATGTGATGGAAGTTAAGAAATGCTTTCTACCATGACAGTTTAGAGTCATCGAGTTTCAAACTGAACTTTTCATCTGACCCGAGTCGAGTCGGGTCAAGTCAACAAATCGAAAATACTAATAGTTTCAACGCTGTTCAGTCGAATCGGCTGTCATACGGCGCCACTCAGTCATTACAGTTTACGAATTAACTCACAATCAGTATTGTCCACCTGATTTACACGAAACAGTATATTGTGCACCAAGGGGAGAAAGTAG